GCTCTTGACATCATGTCCTATTTCCTGGCCCTCCTCCTTCTGATCCGTCCTTCACACTGAAGCCAGAATTGTCTCCCTGAAATGCAATGACATCACACCACTGCGCCTTCAGAGCTCCCCTAGGAAAGCCAGCTCCATTCCAGGGACACTCATGGTTTGCTTCAACCTGTCTTTTTAGGCGAACTTCGTAGCTACTCCATCTGCACCGTCTGCATCTCACCTGTGTTGGACTTGTGTTGTCTTTGGACCCAGCAGGTGGTGTTCGTGCGGCCCCTCCTGCAGCGGGCCCTGCCCTCGTACTCACCCTGTCACCCTGTAAGGCGGTCACAGCCCTTTCTCCCCACCTCCCCGTACCTTACTCAGTTCTCGGTTCAGTGTCATTTCATTACGACCCGAGGGTAATCCCCCTCTGGTTCCCTCACTAGATGACGGACTCCCTGGGGATGGGACCATGTCAGTTTCACCTTTTATCTTCATCATTTTGGATGGTGCTTTTTCTGGGGAGACCGAGGACTTCAGGGGGCATCTTGTCTTTGAAGAGGTGGGTGTCTAGTTGAGTGTTTAAGGTGGGGCTCTTCCTTATACAAGACAGATACTCAGTGTTTGTTTGTTAGAGGAACATTGAGTGAAATACGAAACAGTTTTACAAGAAAGGGAGATAGCAATTTATTACACGTGGGCGTCTGGCGGATCAGGGGAAGGGACACTGAACTGGGAGTGAGACCCTTCTAAGCTGCAGTTTGCTCATCTGTCAAGTAGAGTCAACAGTGGCACCTCCTGTGAAGTTGTGGGGACAGTTTGATGAGATAGCAGTGAAGTGCGTGGCCCAGTGCCTGCGCAGAGCAAGTGCTCTCCACACGTCAGTGGTGGCCGCGCTGTCATCCTAAGCACTGCCAAGGCCAGCCGTGTGATGACTGTAGTGTTCTTGACCATGACCTTCCCCCTCGGTCACAGGAGCTCCTGCATGAGTTCCATATCCCGCTGACCGACGCTTCACGATGCTGGGCCCCTTCCCCACACGGAACGTTTAGACACAAACCCTGATTTTTCTTCATAAAACTGTTTTGAAAAATCAATGTTTAGATGTTTTTGAAAAATATTTTTTATTATACAAATAATGTCTGCTCCCTTTAGAAATCTTGGGAAACATCAACAGAAAGGAAGAAATTCTGCATAATCCTGGGTGGGTAGACACTGTTAACACTGCGGTGTGTTTATTTTGTGTGTGTGTGTGTTTTTCTTTAAAAATTGGGTTTATTTTTAAGTTGAGTTTATTCCATAAATATAGTTTTGCATCCTGATTTTCCATATAACATCACAGACATTTCCCATATTACCGCAGGCTCTTTATAAATGTCATTTTTAATGACTGCATAAATTTGCATTATGTTATTGTGCCATATCTTATCTAACCATTACTTGGTAATTGGACGTGCAGATTCTTTCTAATTATGTATTAAGTCCTCGTTCTTAAGATAACTTCCCCTTCTGGGTGTTATATTGAGATCTCTAGAGGCATTTAAATATCTTCTAGGTAGTGCTGTAAATAGATGATGATATAATAAGCTTATGGCTTAGCTTAATTGCCTTTCATTTTGGAAGAACATGTTTATGTACTTGAAGAGAACAAGGAAAAATATTTAATCTCCTGGTGTACTTGAATGATTGCTGATCAGGGCCTCAGAGGTGTCACTATGTAAATCAAGTGAGAAACAAATGCAGAGTTGGAGGCTGCTGGGAGGCAGTCCTTGTTGAGTCCCCGCGTTCTGTTCTGGAGAGGGCTACATGACAGGGCCCCTTTGATAGCTGCTGCTTGGGCGGGCCATTCATCTCTGTAGGGGTGGCACGTGACTGTTGCAGCCTTTGTAGCTGGACCATTGTGCTGCTTAGATGTGCTTGCAGAGTTAAAAAAAAAAAGCTGAGTTGATTTTTCTTGCTATGTAAGGATATCTTGCTGGGTATCATGTTTTTAGGTATCTGTGTTTTCTTCTGTACTCTCACATACCAGGGTGATTTGGGTGGGCAGTGCGTCAAAATGGAAAAAGCAGAAAGTGAGCTGGTAGGTCTAAGTACAAGCACAGTTTAGCCACTTATTACCCGAGTGACCCCAGGAAAGCTCCCGTGACCTTTCCAAGCCTCATGCTCCCCATCTGTAAAATGGGCGTGTTAGTGCCCAAGGAGGTCGCTCTGTGTGGTGGGCAGAGCCCCGGACTGGAGAAGCCGGGATGAACCCTCAGCCCTGCCCGGTAGCAGTGAGAGCTCCGGTGGAGCTAATGGCAGCGTTTCACCCAATGGGTCCATGTTCATCGAACGCCCCTGACGGAGCTCCTGGCTCTCACGCTGCGGCCCGTGTGCCCTTTCTTACCACTCCGGGGACAGGGAGGAGCCGTCACTTACTCCGCTGCCAGCCGCTTCTTAATGTGTTGCTGTTGGGTTCCTGTACCCTCTCGTTTCCTTCGAAGATGACAAATGACCACTTAACTCCCAAGTGTAGCCGTGGGTCTTTAGTTTGCATCCAAATCGGCCTTTCTATCACATCCACCCTCATTTCTCTTCTTTCCAGAAAAACTCATCGTTTGACTTCTTGAGTCTCCTTGAACCAGGGTCGTTTCTTTTCAAACTCGTTTACTAGTTCCTGCTTTTCTCGCTGCTTTTCACCTCTGTGGTTCCCAGAACATTGTCCTGGGGCTCGCTGCTTATCTTCAGTGCTGTCCGCGCCCCGTGGCCTCCCCGGTGGGGTTGGGGCCTGCACGGTCCACACGGCCTGTGTCTGGGTGGGAGGATCGCCCCCCGAGTGCTTGGGTCGGGGAGGAGCTGCATTTCTAAGAAACCAGGCCACGGCCTTTAACATGGTCTGCGTCCCTAGTAAAGATGATATTTTAGCCGCTGTCTTCTTTCGTTGTTTTGTTTTCACTTATTTAGGAAGTAGGTGGACAAGAGCGTCCTGCTTATTGGGGACCCCCTTAGAAATCTCAGCATTATAACGTTGAAAATAAGTAATGTTATTCTTATGGGAACACTCCACAGACTAACTGGCTTTCATTTCCGTAAGTGAGTGGGTTAGCATCGGCTCTGAAGTGTCCGTTGAGATCAGGCCACACCTGCACTTTTTCCTCTGTTGTCGTCTTTTCCACCCCCTTCTTCCTTAGTTTTCTTATTTCAGATTTGGAAGAAAAGCTGTCCTTCTCTACCTGTTTATAATATCACTTAATGCAAGCATGGTTGTCTCAGATTATTACTTAGAAGAAGCGAGACTAGGTAAGCGATGAAATCGTGATGTGCTGGGTTTGTCCGGTTGTCAACTCTTGAAATGAGCAAATGGCACTTATTCATTGTGTCCATTACTTTCTCTCTAGAAAAGCTGTTCATAGTGAAGCCAATGAGACACTGCACGTCCCTTTCCTTCTGGGGCAGCTGCAGCCGGCATGAGGCGTCACAGGGAGTTCGTCTCCTTCATTTCAGCAGGGTTGCCTGCAGGAGCGGAATGCCCTGTTCTAAGATCCCTAAACCACGAGTGCTCTGCGGAGCATGAGGCAGATGCGGGCATGGACATGCTGGCAGCCAGAGCCCCGGGGGAGAAGTATCATCTGTAAATTGAGGATGATTTGATTATTTAAAGAATTTTGTTCATCTTGTGATTAACGTTACTCTGTTATATTCAGAATTAATTCCGCGTGCTTGTCTGCCCTCCCGCTCCCTAAAGAATGATGCTTAGACACAGGAAACCCCTGTCTCAGCAGTTTACCCGTGAATGCCTGAGCCTGAGATCTGCGAAGTCCTTGCCTGGACACTTGGCATGGAGGCCGCAGTCTTGGTGAAGGGATTGGCCCCTCTGCAGTCCCCCCTCCCCCCCACATTTCCTTGCGTGCAGCTGCGTGATAATGATGGCAGGTACCACCTTGCTGCTGTGCTCAGAGCACTTACCTCCCGGTCACTGTGGCCAGTGCGCATCTCATTTCATCCTTAGTAACCTCTGCACGGAGCGGAAGGCCCAGAAAGGCGGACTGGCGGCCACCGCAGACGGGGAAAGACCTGGCCGTTCATTAGACCCATCTGACTGCCTTGCTGTAGGCCCCCCGCCCATGGCTGTGTCCCTCTGCCACTCTTGTCCCCAGCTCTTCCGTCTTTCCCTGTCGGCAGTGACAGAGGAAATAGAGCCAGGAGGATGGAATCCCCTTACCCACCCCCAGTTCCCTCCTTCCCTTTATTCTTCTAACTAGGGGAGTGCCAAGACCACAGGCTTGGGGCCAAACACAGGCTGTAACTTTACTGGGTCTCAGCGTTTTCGTTTGCCCAGTGGGCACAGCGATGTCCTCCCTGCTGAGTAACGGCGAGGTTTCAAGCAGGAGGGCTCCCCAGGGCGTTACGGAGGCACAGAGTTTGTGAGCAGGTGTCTGGAGGACGCTGTGGACGTAAGCGAACACTGTTTATTATCACCTGTGTCCTCTTTTCTGCCCTCCTGGTGAAAAGGATGGGGCCGGGTAGAGAACAACAGTCTCATCTCACCAAGCTCGATTTTGGCATAAAACATGTGGACTTGTGATTGTTCTCTTCAGTATCTTTATGCGGATGGATGATAAACTCCTTGGGGATGGGGCCTGGCGTTTTCCTTGGTACCTAGTAATTGTTGGGAAAATATTTCTTAAGTAATAAATATCCTGATTCTCCCGTCCCGGGGCTTGCCTGCTGACTTTCTTGGAATTTGGTAAGAATTTGTTCTGTTGGAAAATGAAATCTCCCAGAAGATAGTAACTTAATTTCCTTTTTATCCACAGGACCTTAAATAGAATGCTGCTAGTGGTTATCTGAATAAATTGCATAAAACTTCTGCTTTCTTTTTGTCTCCTGTGGTCACTGCCCCTTCATTTCTGTCAGAGGATTGGACTCACTGGACCATCAGGGATTGGGTTAAGAATTTTATTTTTGCTTACATAAATAACATAAAAACCTCCCACATTTAATTTTAAGTAACCTTCATTTTGCCTTTATTCTCTCATCAGAAAAGAAAGACGTGACTCAAAGCCTGGAGAGCTATACGTCCAAGTGTCCTGGGACGATGGAACCCATCACCCTCCCCGATGGCCTCACTCTGCCGCCAGTGCCCTTCACCAAGCTTCCCATCGTCAGGTGAGGCGGGCCCCGCCGGAGTGCAGGCAGGCGGTGCACGTCAGTCTGAGCACGCCCCTCTGGTGGCCAGTGAACATAGATCTTCAGAAGAGTGTCCGCTTGTCTCTGGCTGTGTCTTTGGTCCATTATCAGGTCAGATCTCCTCCACAGTCTGAGAGGGGTATGCACGTCATCCTCTGAGCTCCGTGTCCTCGTCCTAGGACTTAGGATGCTTTTGGACCCAGAACGCTGTTTCATGTGCTTCTGTTCTTACTAGTAAATGGGTTTTGGTGTTTGTCTGAGATTGGCTTTCATGCACAGCTGGTTTGATTTTTGTGCTGTCCCCCCAAGTTTTTGCCATTTGAAAATATAAAGAATTAGGGTAAATGTGATGTCCTTGCCTCACAATTCTGCAGCCCCCATCATCACTTTCCTGTTTTTGTCAAAGCTCGGTCTTTTTTCTCTGCACACGCACCAGGGGTATACTTCTGGAACGCATGCGTGCTGTTTCCTCCTCTAAACGTCTCTGTGTCTGGTTATATGTCCTAGTGCTGCGTAAGCATTTCTTTAGGGTTCAGAAAGGAAGGACAGGAGCTAAAGTTTATTGATGTGTCTTATTTATGCTGAGTACTAGTGAATGCCCTTTGTGTAAAATTGGACAAAAGACAAGATTTTGCTCAATAGTCTTGCATTCCAATCCTGTTTTTGCAGTTAACCGTGTGACTGTGGTTGAGCTGTTTCACTTCCCTGAGCCTCAGTTTCCTCTCCTCCAACTGGGGTTGATGACCTATATGGTGACACATTTATGAATCAAACGCAGTGTGTGGGAAAGTGCTCTGTAAGCAGAAACATCGTCGCAGATATTGGGTTGTCGGAAAAGTCATGACACATTTTTGCAACGAAAACCAGAAAAATACATTGTGACTTTTTCGACAACCCAATAAGAGTTCATGTAGAAGTTTAGGGGGGGCTCTTTCTCTATGGAGAGGTCATTTTGCTATCCCTTGTCAGCTCTGAGTTCTGTTTCCTGTGTTAAATGGAATCAACTGAACTAAGTTCCATCATGCTCTCAAGGAATGCTGAAATAAATGTAACTTTATTTTTTAAATTCATGTTATCCAAAGCCAGAGAGTCTCAGAGCTGGGCCATTGAAGAGTGGTCGTTATGTGGACTCAAACATCATTTTAGCAGGTCATTGTCTCACTTCTCAGAAAACTGAACCAGGCACAGGGCTGGTGAGCTCTGGCATGACATCTTCCAGTGTGAATTTACCCTCCTGGCTGTAGACACAATGGTGGGTTTCCTGATGAGACCAAATCACTGTCAGAAAATAGGTGTTTTACTTGGTTTCTCTGTGCCAGAGATTTTATCATTTGGAAAGTAAAGTATTGGTCATTCTTCTTAGTTTGACAAAGTTTTCAGTGCCACGACAGTTACTAATTGCCCAGATGTGGAAAGAGAAGGTACCTCTTACCTTTAGAATGATCCTAGCCTAGTAGGGGAGACAGCCAGGTGAGCTCATGGTCCTGAGACCATGCTGTGTGACAGAGCGGCTCCGTGCAGGTGTTGGGGCACACAGAGGAAGCGATGCTGGTCCAGTGTCGGCCCTGGAGGACGTACACCAGGAGTTACCTGGCTGTACCAGTCAGGGGTCGTTCTCCAGGTACCGAGAGCAGCTCGTCTCTGGGTTCGTTAGCTCTCAGTAGTCCTCAGTGCAAACTTCAGGCTTGAAGTCAGAGGAGCTGGAGTAAACCCAGCCCTCCCATTAGATGGGGCAGTGTGGTCCCAGCGTGCAGCACTGCCCTGGGCTGCATGCTGTGTCCCCCCAAATCCGTATGTTGAAGTTCTAACACCAGTGGACAGCATTTGGAGGTGGAGCCTGTGGGAGAGAATTAGGTTTCAGTGGCCATGAGGGTGGGGCCCCGTGACGGAATTGGTGCCCTTGTGAGGAGATGAAGGGGCCAGAGCGCCCTCCTTCATGTGGGGACACAGTGACATGGTGGCCATCTGGGAGCTAGGAGGAGGGCCCTCCCCGGCGCTGGCTCTCGGCCCTTGGATGTCCAGCCTCCAGAGCTGTGAGGCACCGATGTCTGTTGGTAAGCCGCCCGGTCTGTGGTGTTCTGTGCCAGCAACCAACATGGAATACCACACCCCCAAGTAATCATGTAGTCTATTCACACACCACCAGTCGTGAATTATTAAAGAAGAAATTGGAATAGTTTAGATGCCATTTATAGTAAACCAACGGGTCTTTCATTTGGGGGTGGGGTGGGCGGGAATAGCTGATTTTTAAATTTTCTTTTCTTTTTGATGAACCAACGTTGAACTCCTTCCACCTGGCAGAGAGCTCTTGAGTTAATGAGGCTATTTTAATTGATAAGGATTGAAACCCTCCAGCTAGAATGAGCTTTGAGTAGCTTTAGTGCTTTTCAAATGTAAACTTTTAAGATAATTATACTATTTGAGGAAGGATTACAGGCATTTATTAAAAAAGGGGCTTAGAGGCCATGATTCTCAGGGCAGTTTTCCTTGGTTTATGAAACAGGGCATAGTCAGCCTCCCAGATACCAGCTCGCGGCTGTGCCCGGACTGGTTCCCAACATGGGGTGCATGCGGCCAGTTTTAGTCCTAGCCCATCTGCGCAGAGCCGTCCAGTGGGGCCTTAGATGTGTTTCCGCTGTACATAAGGCCGATGGATGAACGGCCAAGGGGGAAAAGGCCAGCTGTCCTGTCCCGTGTCACCCTTGTCTCCTGGTGTGTTTTCTGTCACTTTCCTAATTAGTGTTCTGCTGTTGCTGTGCCTGGTCCCAATTAGCCAGCGCTATGCTGAGAAGTCAGATTTTAAAATGTCAACAGTTTCCACATGGAATCCCTAAAAATAGTCCTTGTCTTGGACACTTCCCTGGAATTCTGCTTTCCCGTCAACAGCTTCATAGACCAAATACACTATTATTAGTTCTGCAGTGATTCAAGCTACATGAGTTCTGTTTCCTTCGGGCAGGTTCCTGAGCGACTGTTTTTTTTTTTTTTTTATGGCCAGACTTTGGTGCTCAGTGTTGAGTTATGAATGGATGCTGTGACCGCCCGTGGCCGTGCTTGTCTGGCTGACCACGCCCTCCAAACCCTTTGCATATTTATTTGATCTGGAATTTCTGCACTTACATATTGTAGATGGTTCCCACAGAATCAGAGATGACCTCTCGTTTTTGGGTGGTGACTTTGTCATGGAGTGGAAAGCTTTTTGTGTTGTAAGAAAACGGCATCCTGTTATAGATGGGTGGCTGCCAGGGCTCAGATAGACGGTGCCTGGTCCGAGGCTTAGCAGTGGATTGCCCAGGGTTGGGACCAAGACATCATTTCTGCACTCTAGTCCAGTGCTGTCATCTTGGTACCAGGGACTTGATTTTATGCCTGTAAACAAACAAGTGCTGTTTTAAGTAGGACAGGAGGGCTTTTGTGCACCTGCTGTGTGTGAGGGGCTGAGATGGGCACCTTCCATAGTTAACTGCTTGGTCCTCAACGCACCCTGCTGAGGTCGGAAGATACCTGCCGCAGGCCGCACCCCCTTCTCTGCCTGAGTTCGGAATCTAAAGGAACGCCTGCCTCGGGAAGATGGAGAGACGGTGAGCGGCACAGCTCAGGTCTGCCTGGCTGACGTTGCCCCAGTCTCTGGCACAGCTGGGTGACCGCATGCTCCTTCATGGGGCCAGGCCCTGTTCTGTCCCTGTGGAGAGCAAGATGGCGGCAGACCCCAGGAGAAGGGCCCACTCGCTGTACACCCTAGTTCTCCCAGGGCAGAGCGAGGGACTCGAAGGACACACCTCCCCATGGGAACAGGGAGCCAGTGAAAGGAGATGCCTGAGTTTTGCAAAATATTGTCAGATCACACTGTTATCACAATAATGATGCTATTATTCTTCTGTTTCATAAGTGAAAAACCCAGGGTCCAGGGAGATGAAGTATGTGCCTGGTTGTCCTACAGTCAGGCCTGTGCACCAGCTAAGGAGGCCTCGGACCAGACCGAGGGCTAAGTGCAGGGTCCCCCTGTGGCTGGATGTGTGTGGACAGAAGACAGACCTGGGCATGACATCCTGGTCAGCCCTGCGCTCACTGTAGCCCGGTGGCAGGGCCGCAGCGTTTCCCTGGATGTTCAGGCAGGGCTCGGGTTTGCCGCGGTTCGTAATGAACTGCTTAGCTTCAAGTATCTAGCTGTGAAAGATTTGGAAGCTGAGTTTGAAATTCAGCTCTTGGGAGTTCGCTCATCCAACGTTTACTGAGAGTTATGCACTAAAGAATTGTGCTTGGTGCTGGACTGGGGACAGACTGGGCTGTGGATGCCCCATCCTTGGAAGGCTCACAGCTGAGCTGCAGCAGATAGCAAATGAAGCGATTCTGATCCTGTAAGAGAAGAGCATCCTGCAGGAATGCGTGCAAAGACAAGGGAGTCAGCAAGTGTGAAAGATGGGTTTACAGGACCGTGGCTTGTACGCACCCTCTGCTGCCCCGATTGCTGTGGTAACTGGACAGGACCGTGCGTGTGACCCTGACTCTCCAGGGCCCGACACATTCGCCGAGTGCTGCGGGAGGCTGTGAGCCGCACCAGGTGGCAGAGTCCTCCCAGCCGAGAAGGCCGTGACTGGGCTAGAGATTCTATATGGGGTGCTTTATTAGGTAGTCTGGGCTGGGGCAGGAAACGTCATCCCTGAACATTTCAGAAAAATTAACCTTCACTACAATAAGGGTTTTTGTCTCCCACAAAGTATGAGGGAAGCCGGGCAGTTTTCCAGGGCAGCTTACCTCCTGAGGTCACTCTGTGAGCCAGGCCACCTCCATCTTCTCCTTCTCACCATCTGGCCGCCAGGATGGCCGCGTGGTGAGAGCGCTGGGGGCTGGCTTTACCGTGCGCTGTCTCTGAGGGACATGCACGGCTTCCTCTCAGACCGCCTGGCCTCACCTTCCTGCAGGGAGGCTGAAGGCAGGGACAGGAGGAGCAGCAGCTCACCTCCTTGTCTTCCCCCACCGCCTTCCCCCTGTCCTTTCAGGCTCAGGCCTCCGAGTGGTCCAGAGCCCAGCTGGTCCCAAGGGAGGCCACAGGTGCTGTGGTTTAAGAGCTGGTGTCTCCCACCGTCACCAATTCCTAGCCCCGTAGCCTCTGTGTGTCAATTTCCTCACTGATAACATGGAGAGAGTAGTCCTAGCTCCCAAGCTGGGAAGGCGTTGTGATGTTTCATTGGGGTAATACATAGGAAGTGGTTGGCACAGGCCCGAACTGTGTTCAGGCTCCATAAATTAGTAAGTCTTCAATGAATGCATGCTGACTGATGTGAGCGTGAGTATTGGTGAGCAGGCATCACAGCTGGGAAGGCAGTGTAAGATGCAGGCTATGCTCATGGGGACGCAGCCACTCACTCAAGTCGCCAGAGGGAGCTAGTCCCCTCACAGGAGGTACCTGGGGTCTTGAAGAGGGGCTGCTCTTGTGTTTCTAGGGCGTGCGGGCAGGGAGGAGGGAGGCGAGAGAAGGACACTGTGCAGGGCGGCAGGTCTGCGCTATAGTGTGTGTGTGTGTGTGGGGGGGGGCGGGGGCGCGGCTTGTCTGCATTTTAGGGACCAGGCCCAAGGTGAGGGAAGGCTCAGCAGCTGCCCATGGGCACACGGGCACACAGCTGCTGGCAGCGCAGGTCAGAGGTCAGCCTGGCCCTCTGATGGCCGGCTGCTGCCTGGGCCGTAGGACCGCCCTGAGCCATCGCATGCTGCGTTCTCCAGCTTTGTCCTGCTGAATTTGAACGCTTTTCCTTCCCTCAGTTTATCTGCTGTTCGATTTATAGTTTTTCTCACTATTTATTTATGCTATTTATTGGGTGGTATTTCTGCTGCAGCCAAGCTAACAAGGCAGTTGACGTATTTTTGTTCCATTTGAACCAATAGGCGTGTGAACCTGTTGAACCTCCCCGCCAGCCTCCGGCCGCAGAAGATGAAAAGCCTGTTGGGTCAGAACGTGTCTGCCAAGAGCCCCTTCATCTACTCGCCGATCATCGCCCACAGCCGCGGGGAGGAGCGCAGCAAGAAAATTGGTACGCCGTCTGCAGGGGCTTTCCAGCCGCACTCCGCCCGCTGGCGCCCAGGCTGGTCTCCATCTCAGCCCAGCGCCTGCGCGGTGTTCGGTCTGCACGGATGTGTAGTGCTCCTGTCAGTTATGCGGGTGGCTGCCTCTGCCAGGCAGTGGCTGTCGATCTGATTTTTTTTTTTTTAAAGATTTTTTTTTTTTATTGGGGAATTGGGGGAAGGGGAACAGACAAGTTGCTGTCGTTTTGTTCTTCAGTCTAGTTGTGGAGGACTTTGCTTCACTGGCCCAAGTTGGCACCATCATTGCGCTCTTCCCGGGCGAGGCAGATCAGTCGCCGGCTTCTGGACGGCCGCTCACAGCGGCTGCTGGCCGCTCACGCTGGCTGCTGGCTACACACGGTAGCCCATGGCAACCCACTGCCACAGGGGCTGCAGCCTATGTTGTCGCCGGCGACTCACGGCAGCCCAGCTCCAGGTTGAGCTGTTGTTCAGCATCTTAGCTGTAGAGGGCAGTGTCACTGGCCCTCATATGTGGGATCCGAACCGGGGCCCTCTGGCATCCCAAGCCAGTTCTTAACGATTGCACCACTCGGCCGGCCCCAAGAGCTGATTTTTAAACATCTCCTTCATAGAAGGCGATGTGTGTGGAAGGAAGGCCTGGAAACCGGGAGGCCTCTGTTATCTGAGACTTAGGCAGACTACAGGAGGGTGCTAGATGGAGGTCAGAGTGACTTCTGAGTCATCCAGGAAGATCCAAGGTTGACACCTGCTCAGGATTAGTTGGGGGATAAGGACGTTCCATTGTTTTCTCTTTTGAACACTGGCAGCCCTCGTTTCTATCAGGCGCTCGTAGCCAGTCCTGAGACGCCTGCTGACTCAGCCGGGAAAGATGAGGCTGTGAAGCGGGTGGACTGGGAGTCCCTGATGAGCCGTTCTGTGCGCTGCGCTCCCACTGCGCCCCAGGCCCGGCCCGCTCACCTCCTCCTCCCAGCCAGCCCCAGGGCCCGTGTGTGCACCCCCGCCTCCCTCCGTGCCCTGGCTGACACCTGGCTGTGCAGTGGGCCTCACTCGTCGCCAGCCCCCTCCCTTGGTCCCCTTGCCCATCACTGCCAGGCAGGAGTCCCCGTGTCACAGTGTCACAGCGGAAGGACTGAGGGACCACGCGGGTTGATAGTGCCCGGTTCCCTCCTAGGAGTTTCAGAGAAACCCACAAAGTCTTTGCTCTCTGCTTTGGAAACAGTGCTTTCTTCTCATTCTGCTTTTTAAATTTCTACTGTTAATTCCTATACCCCAAGTGCAGGGAGAAAGCACCCTCACCTCACGTAAGTGCCCCGTTGCACTCACGCCCCTGCCCACACCCAGCAGCTCGGACCTCGGGCTCTGCCTCGGGGCTGTCCGCCCTTGGCCCCCCTTTCATTCTCACCTCCTGCCTTTCTCTCTCTGACTCCCCAGACCCAGCCGCACGCTGCTTTCTGTGTTTTGAACGTAACAGTCCTGTTCTGGGGTCAGCTTTGTGCTTGCTGTGCCTCTGCCTGGGGCTCATCCCCCTGCCTCTAGAGTCTCCGCCCGGCTAGCTGCAGGGTCTCTGCCTGTGCGGCCAGCCCTGCCTTTTTATTTTTTCCTCTCCAATCTTAAGAAATTGTAGAGGGTACTTTCATGAAAATAATACTTTGTATTTGTTGCAGAGGCCTTAACCATTACCCAGTGGTTCTCATAACTGCATGATGCTTCAGGCATCACATTCCCAATGTGATGAAGGCTGAACGAACCTGAGTTACCTGCCCTCGGACAGAGAGCTAGTACGTGGCAGAGCTCAGGCTGCAGCCCAGGCTCAAGGACTCCAAGCTCAGGGGTTGTTTCCCTTTGTAACGAGGCTCCTATGACAGCTCGTCTGGGCAGAGGAGAGATTTGGGGGTGATGCAGTGTTCTTTCTGATGTAGAATGGAAGCTTCAGCCAAAGTGCATGTTACTTGTTGAGTACCCATGGGTAGGGAAATGTGATTTATACGCTGTGGCTTCTAATATCTTTTTGGCAGTGTACTCATCAGCAAGGATCTGCCTGGAGGTTTGAAGAATCATGTATCTTTAACCCAAAGTTCCAATCTCCATAAATGAGTCTCCGTGTGTAACTGGAGTTATCGTTACAGCAGAGGGTATAAGAGAAGAAGCCCCGAGGGCCGTTTCTGAGACTGGTTTCCACTCTAACTTGGAATAACGTGCCAGTCGTTCTGCCTGCACGTTGCTGGTGGTGTCACCATCCAGGTTAAGCTCTGTGCACAGGTGACGCAGCACGCGTCCTGAGCTTGGGCGCAGTGGGTGCAGGGCTCTGCGTGATTAGTGGTGGGACTTCGAGCATCGCCAAGCTCAGTGCTGAGGTCACAGCTGCCCCAAGACAGGCTGGAGCTGTCAGACTCCTGGGCTACAGCAGGTGTCACCTCCTAACCGTGCCATCTCGGACAGCAGCTGTGCCGGCTGTAGAGTAGGGACGAGAGAAGCTACTTTGGAGGCCTCTTCCGAGGGGCAAGTGAGAGAATGTTCCTGAAGTACTTGGAGCAGTCTAGGCTGGGTGCTGGGGGTGCAGCAGGGACTCAGGTCTGTGCAGTGTAGGGGAAAGAGACCAGTGTGCCGCCATGCGCAACTGGAAGGCGCCGTTAACCCCGGGTGACCAGACGCCGAGTGTGGAGCAGTGCAGAGCAGGAGGGCTTGCATGGAACCCGTGTATGATGACTCCGTGGCTGTTCGTCCTGCTGTCTCTGGGGCAAAGTATCGAGGAAGGGCCTCCACCGTGTGCCTTGACAGCTCAGGGCTGGAAAGCAGTTGCCTCCTCCTTTCAGACAGAACAGCTATGCATGTAATCAGTGATTTATCTTGGTAGACCAGGACCATCTAAATCTAAGTGATTCCTTTCAGGACTCCAGGCAAATGGTTTTTGTAAATGATGTTTTTTGACCGTGACAGAGAAAACACACAGTTCCTCAGCCACCAGGCTTAGCAATGTGTTAAAATGAATGACAGTTTCATCCTCTGTGGGGAAGGGGCTGAGGCGCTTCCGACGCCATCAGTGATTGGCTCAGAGAGGCCGCTGAAGGGCGGGTGTGAGCAGGTGCCGGAGGGTGACTGTGAGCCGCCCCGTGAAGGTTCTCCCAGCTGAGGGGCTGGCGGGGTAGGGAGAGGTGAGGGAGGGGACCTGAGTTCCTGGAGCCAGGACGGGTGGAGCAGCCGAGTGAGAAGAGCACAGGTCTGGAGGAGCCTGTCTCAGTGTCTGAGGGAGCCTGGTGCCCAGGGTTTGGGAAAACGGTGTCTTTATGAAAGCTGAGGACTCGAGTGAGTACCTCTTAGTGTCCACTCTAGAAAAAGCCCTTTTAACCACCAGCAGTGTCCGTACCTCTTTGAGCTCAGACACCTGGGCTGGAAGCCCCGTGCACTGGCTCTGTGATTCCTGGGCATTGCTTACTCTGTTCGGACCTTGAGTACCTGCCTTGTGACAGTGGGGATGCTAATAACTATCTCACCAGGTGATTATGAGAGCAATGCGATAAGATAACCAGTGTGAAAGTGCCTCAGACCCAGCTGTGCCCCACATGTTAAATGAATCTGAAGTCCTGATTTGCCTCAGGGAGCGTCTTAAAGGGAGGAGGGGCCGTGGAAATGCCGTGGGTGCTGTGTCAGTTTAGTTGTGTCTTGCTTTGCGTCAAATTACCACAAACTTAGTGGCTTAAAATAAGGCAAATTAATTCCCTTGCTGTTTCCGTGGTCAGGAGTCCAGTGCATGTTATTTGAGCCCTCTGCTCAGGTCTCACAGGCTAAAATCCAGGGGTCAGCTGGGGCTGTGTCCCCGCCTGGAGGCTGGATGGGGGATGATCTGTTTCCAGCTCCCTCAGGGGGCTCCACTCATTTCCTTGGGGTTGTGTAACTGACACTCCTGTTCTCTCTCTTTTTTTTTTTTTTTTTAGCTGAGCCATCCTGCCACCTGTTGGCAGCTCAGCGGCTGCTTAGCTCGGGCCAGGACTGACAGCCCTGTTCTCTTGCTGGCTCTCAGGCCCTCGAGGCTGCTCTTGGGTTCTTGCCACATGGCTTCCTCCATAGGCCCTTCCGCTTTGCACCTTTTCCTTCAGGAAGGGTTTGGTCCCTTTCTGGGGCTCACCTGATTAGACTAGGCCCACCCAGGATACGCTCTCTTTTGATGAACTCGGAGTTGACTGACTGGAGACTTTCTTCACATCTGCGGACTCCCTTTACCTTTGTTACATAACAGAGCCTTATCCTCATTCACACTCGGGGAGAGGCTCACTCAGGGCATCCCCACGGGAGCGGGGGCTTTGGGGCCATCTCAGAATTCTGCCTCCTATAGGTGTTGGACTGCAGCTGACTTGGGCGTGGTCAGGGACAAAAGCCACAGTCTTCTCTCGGGAGAGGAGGGGAATCAAGCTCTATGCCACTTAACTTGGCCACAGCACCACCTTCCTAAGTGCCAGGCTCCGGCCAGTGACGTACAACTCTGCACCGAGAATGGTGTTGCCTGGAGTGATTTTGGCCACATGAAGCCGCATTTGGTCTGCTGGCCAAACCAGCCTGCTGAAGATGCCAAGACATGTCTGTCACAGAGCATCCAAGTGGCAGTGTAGACTTGCTGTTTCAGAGAAAGCGAGCGGGAAAACTAGCTTTGAATTGTGTGTCTCAAGATGACATTCATGTCCATTGCTTCACTGGAAAAATAAAACTGCCGGGGGGGTGCTCAGAAACTGTGAAACATGCGAAATGCCAGCTAACACGTGGACTCCTGTGTGTGTGTGTGTGTGTGTTTCCAGATTTCCAGTGGGTCCAGGGGGATGTGTGTGAAGTTCAGCTGATGGTGTATAACCCAATGCCGTTTGAACTGCGCGTTGAAAACATGGTGAGTATCGCCAGCCGTTTGACCCTTTAGGGCCAAGCACCAACTCACTGTTAAAGTATGTTTTTTCCTCAGCACTTGAGGCACACATCCTATGCTGTATGTCTGCTTTTGTATTTGTTTCGCCTCAGAGTCTAAGCTTTTGGTGAATGAAGACCACGTTTTATCATTCCGTGCTCTTAATGCGTGGCCCTCAGTAGATGTTTGAATCGACGAACAAAGACGCCTCTGACTTGGACACAAGCCGAGCTTAGTTGACTGGTCATAAGATCTGAAATAACCATGTTAAAGTTCATGTGACACTGACGCAGGTTGCTTTGTTGCAACGAGGTGACAAGGTGATCAAGGCTCGAGGGCGGGAGGAGCGGGCTCCGCAGAGTGTGAGGGTGGGCTGCAGTGCAGGAGGCTTGTCTCGGCTTCGAAGCCCGCTGCTCTGGCTGTGTTTTGTGCAGGGCGTTAAAGGCTCTCCCTATAGAGGTGTCCGCTGGAACTGCTCACCTGATTCCCTGAGCGAAGGGGTTTGGTCCTGGCTCTCCAAGCTAATTCTAACGTTCGCAGAGCAGAGCTGCCACCCCCGTCTCATCTCTCGAGTCCCTGCTTTGTAACTTCAGTGATGCGCCAAGTAAGCATTTTCCTTTAGCGCTTCACGACTCATGTTCAGGGTCCGAGGTGGGCTCTGTGTGCAGGTGTCTTGCTGAGTGCCCCTGCCACGTGTCAGGCCTCAGGCAAGACTGGCCCCTGCCTCGACTGTGGTCATTGCTGTGGGATGAGGGTGCCTGAGCACCCGTGTGCAGAGTTAGCGAGAGATGATGGACGGCTGGGCTGAGGGTACAAGGGTGAGTCAGTTTGCCGGGCAGACGGGGAGTTACTTATGGTGATGGTCAGGCCTCCAGCATGCAGCATAGCATTCTAAAGACTGGTTGAGTTCTTAGAAACTCACTCAGCTGTACGTTAAGCTGACAGACCTGGTGGCTCAGAGAACGGGTCTCAGAAGGTGAGGGTTTGCCTCCTCCCCATCGGCCTTCAGGCTGGGCCCTGGGGCAGGCCTTTCCGTGACTTCTGTCTCTTGGCCTGAGCAGGGAATGACGGCTGTTTAGACTCCTCCCCAAAGTGGTGGAAGTGTCATATGCCTGCTGCTCTTTCTTATGTGTTTCTTGCCTTAAAAAGTAGCTTTCATCTTTATTGGGTTTAAACATAGAATAATATGTGCTTTTTGTCAAAAATTAGGAAGAACAAGAAATAAAATAAAAATTACCACTAGGAGATAGCCCACAAATCGTTCATGGTCAGGATTTTAAAAATTAAGTTATGAACTATTTCAAACATATGACATGTACCAGGAATAACAAACACTCACATATCCACCAAACACATTTAGAAAATGTTAACAGTTGGCCATGTTTACTTTAGCTATTTTAAAAACAAATTAAATGCCAATATATTTTGCCTAGAGACAATAGCCATCTAATTGGTTTCTGTTTCCGCTCCTGCCCACGACGTCTGTTCTATACACAGTCACATCGTTTCACGCTTTTGCTCACTGGGCACAGGTGTGCTCGTTGCTGCTGCAGTGTCTTTGCTTCTGGGTGCTTTCTGTAGGTAGAGTTAGGAAAAGTGTGCATAGCCACGGAGACCTGCACTGCCTTACGTACCTCTGCGCATACACCTGCGTTCGGACGTGTAGACGCGTGCCCTGTGCACAGTACAAAGACAGGTTTTATAAATCCTGACTTTACGCTGTCACCCCCAGTTCTAATCCGTCTCCATAGGGTTCCTTCTTGCCTTCCTCCGTTCCATAGCCGGGTCCTTTCTTCCAGTGTGAGAACTTGGGCTCACAGCATCAACACGTTCTCATCTGCCCAGTCCGGTAATTACATCTAAAACAGCTTGACCATAGCACTACAGAAAACGAACCCACTAGAAGGCCGTCTTTAATTTATCTCAACCATGTTCTGTGGATTTCCCTGGGGGGAAATCTTATATATCGTTCATTAGATTTATTCTAAGCTAGTTGATTTTTAAAAAATCTCTTGTTAATGGTATTTTTTACATTTTATTTTCTAATTGTTTATTGCTAGATTACAGAAATACCTTTGCCTTTTTTTTTATGATGATTTTGTCACTTTGCTAAATGCACTTGTTAGTTTAAGTTTCATTGTAGATTCCATGAGGTTTTCTATGTTCACAGTTCTGTTTTTTTTGTGTGAATAATTGTGTGCCTTTTATTTCTTTTTCTTGCCTTATTGCACTGGGTAGCACCTCTGTTACAATGTTGAGAAGTCCTGAGTGCTGAAGTTGTTTCCAGAGGCCAGGGGATCTGTCTTGTTTACTGTTAAGTGTGATGCCTGCTACATATTGCAATGGATTGATGAGTCACAGATACACTGGAGAGATGTTATGGATGATATATTTCCACATTTCATGGTTTTTCTTTTTGTTTACATTCCCATTTGGTAAAATAGCAAAACAAAACAAACATAAAAAATACAGCAGTGGGGGCTGTTCTCAGGATGGACAGGTTCAGGCACCCACAGTGCTTTCCGCCAATGTTGTCTTGTGCTCATCGCACTTTTAGCTTTTCTCCACAGTTCTCTGTGGATTTTTACAAAAGCCATTTCCTCCTGGCAGCCCTGGAGCTCTCCTGTTGGGGCCGTACCACGGCTAATTGGGAACTGACCGTAACGTCGGGGTCTGGGCTGTGCTGACGCGTGCCGCCTGTGCCTTGCTCTAGGGGCTCCTCACGAGTGGAGTAGAGTTCGAGTCCCTCCCTGCAGCGCTGTCCCTTCCAGCTGAATCTGGTCTTTACCCGGTGACACTTGTTGGGGTCCCCCAGACGACTGGAACGATCACCGTGAACGGTAAGGGGGATTTCTTTCTGATCCAGGTCGGGTAGGACGGTTGAGGTCTTGTCCTGCCTCACTGAGGCCTGTCACTGGTCACCCGGCATTCTGGTCCTAACCATTGAGAATTGTTTAATTTTGTCACACAGTGAATGATGTTTATAACAACCCGCTCAAAATTTCAAAAGCCATTTTAAAGCTTTGCTTAAACAGTTTCAACTGCTTACCTAACCAGTGGAGTCTTTTTTTGGCGTGGAAAATTTGTAAATCTTAAATTACTGCACTGTCCACATGTAGCAGATTGGCCATATCACGTAGCAATGATAATAACAATAATTGGCCCTTGAACTTTCATCTTTCAACAGAAGATTTTGAATCATTTTTCAATATTTAATTCACATCACGCCCTGGAAAGGAATACTACCTCTCATTCCCACTTTAGAGCTGGATGGATTTGGAAAGCCACTTGGTAAAGGGATGCAGTATAGTAGGTGGCCCCGAGATTTCTAGTTTACAAAGATTCCCCCGTGCACATTCCGTCTGGACGCAGGCAACCTTGTGAAGTGGGAAAGCAGGTGCTGTTACCAGCTCCACGTCCTGTAGGGGGACACCGAGGACCGCGGGCTTGAGTGTGGGAGCTGGGGGTGAGACCAGCAGGCGATGGGGCCCGAAGTCAACTCAGGCTTTTGGAGAGGGACGCGCCCCTCCTCATGCCTGGGCGTGAGACCCGTCGCTGCTCCCGGCGGAGTGAAGCTTTTCCTCTTGCTCCCAGGTTACCATACCACGGTGTTTGGCGTCTTCAGTGACTGTTTGCTGGACAACCTCCCGGGAGTGAAGACCAGCGGCTCCACGGTTGAAGTCATCCCTGCTCTGCCCAGACTGCAGATTGGCACATCTCTGCCCAGGTAGGCGCACAGTGCAGGTGTCTCCTTTCTGACGAGCAGTGGCACTTCAGGGTATTCTTTAGCATACATTTTTTTAATGGCACCAAGAACCTGAGTTAATCTGTGATGCTTATGACCAGCATATGGGTGACGGCTTCCTTCCAGAAAACCAGTAGGCTTTATGCTTTGCTTACAGAGAATTGGGACAGAGAGTAAGTGTTTCTTACCAAGATCAGAACGAAGTGTGAAATTAGCCTTTGGAATCATAATTTTTGTGAAAAACCATGAAGGTTTTAGGGAATTTAAGAAAAACTTTTATCTTTTAAAAAAATAGTTTTTGTTGTTAAAAAAAATTTTTTTTAGCTGAGCCATCCTGCCACCTGTTGGCAGCTCAGCGACAGCTCAGCTCGAGCCGGGAATCGAACCGGCTACCCTGTTGCTTAGAGCTCACACTCTTGAGCGAGCTCTTAACCAACTGAGCCACTCGGCCGGCCCCAAAATAGTCGTTTTTAGCATAGGAAAGGACAAAGAATAAAGGGACATAAGTGTCAGGAGTCCCAGAGGCAAAACTGCTGTTAATGCTTAGCGGAGTTTCCTTCCCTGCCAGTGTTTAGCCGTCCTTTAAAAAAAAAAAATGTTTGAATAGCTGAGATTGTACTACGTTATAGGTAGTGTCATAGATTACTTATTGCTTAACCATGTAACACAAGCCAAATAAATTTTATTTTAATGGCTTCAGAAAGTACATCATAAGGTATCACAAAATTGCATCTCCCTGCATTTCCTTGCTATTAGAATTTGGGATCATCTCAATGTTTGCTCTTCTGACTGATACTTAATGTTTATCCTTCTGGCTGTTTTTATAAAACGTTACCTTGGTATTTTCTGAAACGCCTTAAAAGCTCCTTCACATACTTAGTGAGCCCTTCCCTCCCAGTTGCCAGGCGCCGTGCTAGGCCTAGGGCTGTGAAAAGGAACACACGAGCCCTGGTCCTTGCCCAGGAAGGTACAGTCACGTGGGAGAGATTGGCAGGGGGTGGAACTGCTGTCAGGACCCCGACGGGCTGTGGGAGACCACGGGCTCAGGGCAGATTCCTTCCGGGAGGTGACGTCAAGTGTGATGTGAGAGGTGACGGGGGAGGAATCAGGCTTGTGAAATGGGCAGGCGGGAGATTTTCTAACAAAGGGAGCAGCCTGTGAGACTCCCTAGAGGTGGGAGGAAGCGTTGTGTGATTGAGGAATAAGATGAAATGCAGAAAAAGATGAACTCAAAAGGATCAGAGAACTAACTGTGAGAGCCAAAAGTATAAACCTTTCAGAATAAAACAGGAGAAAAATTTTGTGATCTTGGGTTAGGCAAAGAGTTCTTTGATATGACCTCCAAAGCAGGATCTTCTCTGAGAGCGTGGGAGCAGAGGCCCCAGGAGGGTACGACCAGCTCGGTGAGCCTGACGTGCTGAGATGTCGGCTCTTCCCTTGGACAGCACGGCTGTGAGGGCAGCACTGCCTGGAACATTCTCTTCTGTCCTCTGGACCAAATGGTGTGAGGATATGAAGCTCTCTGTGGGGCATGGAAACAGGGCTGGGGTCTGCCCTTGGTCCTCTGTGCCGTGACCAGGAGCAGAGCTAGGAAGAGCTGGTCAGCAGCGAGGCACCTGCGGACGTGCTCATGGTGTGGCCGGAGCCTACTCTGTCCGTCTCACAGCCCATTTCTGATTCAATTAGGTGTATTATGTTGGCTCACATTTAGACGAATGTGGCTTCCTGTGGAAGTCCCTCAGGTGAAGAAGGGAGGTAAACCCTCCTGATCCCAGGAAAAAATGTTGACCCTTCCCCTCCCAGAGACCACCCCGTTTTCTTTTGTGGCCAAACATCCCCAGAGCACCATGTAAGCATTTTAACTGCACCTGCCCCACACACCTCTCCAGATTTTGTCTTCACTGGACTACCAGAGGCCTTTGCCCCATGGTCGCCAGTGACCTGCCGGGGAGTCGGTGTGCTGCCTGTGGGCTGGTTAGGAGATGCCCAGGGCCAGTAGCATCCTAGATTCAGGGACAGTCAGGAGAACCCACAGACAAGGGCTGTGGTGTGGGAGCCTCAGGATAGTGTCAGCTGAGCTTCGGGGCTCAGGCAGCGTGAGGCCACACCTGGCCCGTGAGGAGGAGCCGGCCCTATGGACACCCTCCAACCCCATGGCACCACCAGCCGGCTGCCCGGTGTCACATCAGGCTTCGCAGGCATGGCTTGTCATTCTTACCTGTGACGTGGAGCCTGCTGTGTACACTCTTCATTTCTCTCTTGTTCCGGTTCTCATGTTATCGGTCGGGATGGTTCACCTCGGTTTTCTCCTTAAACCTATGAATTTTCCCAAGGGAATTCTGAGCATGAGACTTTTTATGTTTCTGAGAGGGCAACACGCTCACAGCTTATTTGAATTAATTCATTGTTTCATTTTTTTCCCCTCACCATAATTCCAATAAGTAAGTAATTGTATGCTTCACACACACGAGAAACTAAGTCTGAGTGAGAGCAGTCACGTTTGTGACACGTTAGGAACCCAGGACTCATTTGCGTGGAGAGAGCACTCACACGGGGTGGCTTGCTCTTCTGCTCTTGGGAGCTGGGAACTGACCCCACGTTCAAAGCCAAGGTCCCCGAATCCCTATTTCTGACACGCCCAAGTGTGGTGATGGGAGTAATTCTAAAATGCCATTGGTTTTCTTCTTTCTTTTAAAATCTGTTATTGTCCCTCTTATTTTAGATCTGCACATTCCCTGCAACCTTCCTCTGGTGATGAAATATCGACGAACGTGTCAGTCCAGCTTTACAATGGAGAAACTCAGCAGCTTGTCATCAAATTGGAAAATATTGGACTGGAGCCACTCGAGAAACTGGAAGTCACCTCAAAAATTCTCACCACCAAAGGTAGGGGCTTGACGCAGGCTCGACCCCAGCAGTGTTTGTCTTCTTCATTGGCAGAGGGGACACTTTACAGGACCCGTGTGCTCAGACTCCATGAGCTTCTTCTGCCTTTGCTTTGGTGGCGTCGTGAGGCTGGCGTAGGGATGACGCGTGGGGAACACACGCAGGGAGAGAGTGGGGCAGAGCACGCGCCTTCCCCCCAGGCTCTCTCCACCTGTGGGCCCCTGGGAAGAGGATTCTTGAGGGAGTGAATGAAGAGCAGCGTTGCAGCTTGGGACCCCCCACAGCCCGTGCAGTCGGTGTTTCCTAAGTGGGGTCAGACTCAGAGCCTGGGCGGCCCGCTGACAGGCAGGCGCTGTTTCCTGTCCCCAGGCACACGTAGCTTCCTGGGGCCAGAAGATGGTGTAGAAATGTGGCTTCACCATCTGCCAGCTATTGGTCCTTTTTTTGGGCCTGTTTCCTCCTGGGTAAATGGTGGGGGTAAGTACTTACCATGTACATTGTTCCTAGAATTCAGCGAGGGAACATATGGCAGAATTCCTGGAGTAATAGAGGTTAGTGAACGCAGGAGACGGAGGCTCTGGTACCCCTCAAACGGAGCGAGGCGTGGCCGTTTGCAGAACAGCGCTTCCCAGCGAGTACTTAGAGCTGTCATTCTTTTTCATTCCCATCCCAAGCTGTAGTACGTTTGCATGTGGGATTAAATTAGTGGAAATAAAGCATCTGCTTCCCAAATATACAGAGGGAATAATTCCTGTCACTTATATCCTACAGCGCCCAAAGCTGTCAGTATTAATAATTGATCCAATGTATATGTGTATGGGGAGCTGGGAAGAGGTCTCCAGCTGGGAGTGTGAGTGGGAGTTCCGTGTGCGAGGCGGAGGGCAGCAGAGATGTGGAGGACTCTGTCATGGGCGCCGAGCAACACCTCTTGCTGTTTTAGCAGTAGCTTTATTTCAGCCTACTTGGTTTAGCTTCTGTAAGGGTGGCTTAAGTATCTGCTCCATGCAACTTTTCACATGGAATTAAATGTCCCCTTCTCCGGGCTCCATGTGATTTTCTTTGTGCTCCTGTTAGAGTTATTTCATATCTCAGTAGTAATAATAGCTTTTACTTTGTAGGGCCAGGTGAGTGGGACTTCAGGTAACTTTTTCCCGTGAAATAATCAACACATCTAAGTGGTCTTTGTGGGGGTGGGGGCGTGGCCTGTGTCTTTCACTGCTGCGTCCCCAGTGCCTGAGAACTAAGACCAGCGCTTGGCACACAGTAGGCGCTCAGTAGGACAGCACGAGTCCCGCCGTGGAGGGTTGTCAGGAGGCTGGCGCGTCACTGCAGAGCACGGCAGCTCCTGGGGCCACCCCAGCACTAACGTGGCCAGCTCACGCTTGCTTTACGATCGCGGAGTGTTCGTGGTGCAGCCCCCTCGGCCGTGCGGGAGGCCTGCCTGCGCCCCCCCACTCCTCCGCCCTCCGACCCCCAGTCTTTTCTTTCTCCCGTTCCTGACACCTGGAAGCACCAGGGGCCTGGCAGGGCCTCACAGGTTTCTGGGCACATCCTCACTCCCCCCTAAATGAACCCCCTTTTCTTCATGAAAAGAAGAGTTTCTTGTGTTGTTTTTAATCCATCCTCCTTGCTTTCCTGCCTTGTTTTCCTCCCTAGCCTTCCAAACTCCTTTTTAGAATCCTTCTGCATTTAAGTGTTCAGTAAGGATCAGTGATATGTGTTTTTTTTTTTTTTTTTTTTTTTTTTTTTTTTTTTTTTTT